GTCTCCAGTGACATACAGACAATTACCAAGAGGGACTAGAGTTATGGCTCAAGGGTAGAGTGCTTGCCTGGCATGTCTGAGGCCCTGGGTTTGATCCTCAGCACCATATAAATATATTTATATTAAAAAAAGAAGAAGAAAATAAAAAATAACTTACGGAAAGTCATAAAACACAGCAGAAATAAACCATAAACTAGCTGAGTTGAATGAGGAAAAAGGGGGACTCATATCCCTCATGAGCATTTTTGCAGCAAAATCTTCAATAAAATACTAGCAAACCAAATTCAGCAGCCCATTAAATGGATCATACACCAGGATCAACTGGAAATGATTCTTAAGGATGGTTCAACATATATAAACCAATAAATGTGATAAACCAGATTTACAATACAAAGAAGAAAAGAACAGGGTCATCTCAATAGACTCAGAAAAAGCATTTTACAAGTTCAATGTCCGTTCAGGATTAAAAACTCAACAAGTTAGGTAAACAAAGAACTTCTCTCAACATAGGAAAGACCTATAACTAACATCAAAACCAATGGGGAAAACCTGAAAGCTTTACCTAAAAGTGGAAAGGTTATCCACTCTTACCACTTCTATTTAGCATAGTAGAATTCCTTGCCACAGGAATTAAATAAGAAAAAGAAACAAAGGTCTCTAAATTGGTAAAGAAGGACTAAAAAAAAAGTATATCTGTTTGCAGGAAATGTGATTATATATTTATGAACATTAAATTTCAAAAAAGTTAGAATAAACCAATTCAATAAAATTGAAAGACACAAAATCAACATGTAAAAAATGGGGCACATTTATCCAGGCATGGTGGCATGTGCCTATAATCCTAGATACTGAGGAGGCTGAGATAGGAGAAATTGCAAATTCATTGCCAGTCTGGCTAATGTAGTAACTTAAATTTAAGACTAAGAACTGATAATGTAGCTCAATGATTAAGCACCCCAATAATGAGACACTCTATGGACCTTGAAGAAGTGGGGCCTAGTGGAAGCCCTTAGGTCATTGAGCAGGGTATTAAGCAGTTTTTGTAGTATTGTAGCTGGGTGTGGTGGTTCACACCCATAATCCTAGTGTCTCAAGAGTTGAGGCAGAACTATCACAAGATCAAGGCCATCCTCAGCAACTTAGTAAGGTCCTGTGCAATTTAGCAAAACTTTGTCTTAAAATAAATTATAAAAGCCGGGTGTGGTTGCACATACCTGTAATCCCAGTGGCTCCAGAGGCTGAGACGGGAGGATCATGAGTTCAAAGCCAGCCTCAGCAAAAAGTGAGGCCCTAAGCAACTCAGTGAGACCCTGTCTCTAAATAAAATACAAAATACGGCTGGGGATGTGGCTCAGTGGTGGAGTGTCACATCTCACGACTAAACATCAAGGTCACTCCAGGTGAACTGGGCTACACGAAATAACCACACAGAGACATGGAAATACCTTTTTCTTTGGTTCCTGTGGTGGCTCCTCTGACCTTAGGGGTCCGTGTAAAGAGACAGAGCGAGGAGCATGTGCTGTACCCTTTTATGGGGAAGAAGCCACTCAAATGAGGCAAGGATTAAGATTACAAGGGAACAGATAAATTTAACTCAACCCCTCTGGGTGTGGCCTACTCATCTTATTTATCTGAGTCTTTCAGATCCCTGTGGTGCATCAGGACTTAAAGGTGCATGCATTTGGAGTGGCTCCCCACAGTTGAGTGCCCCTGAGTTCAATCCCCAGTATCAATCAATAAATAAATAATAAAAAGGGTTTTGATGTGGCTCAGTGGTTAAGAATCCCTGGGTTCAATATCCAGTACAAAAACAAACAACAACAACAACAAAAAACAGTTATTGTGGTATCCCTTCATTAGTTCTTATGAGTGCAAGTTGTTACAAAAGCAAACCTGAACTCTGAATTGCTCTTTGCCTTCTCATCTGACAATGTGATCTCTTGTTCCTGAACATGCCCCTGCCATTGTGATGTCCACTGCCATGATGGGATGTACCAACAGGCCCTTCTCAGAGCTGTCACAATGCTGTTGGAACTTTCAGAATCCAAAACTGCAAACTAAATAAATCTATTTCTTTTAAACATTCATTCTCATGTATTTTATTATGGTAACAACAAACTCACTAATACACATGCACACACCATAGACAAAATTCAACTCAAAGGAGATCAAACAATTAAGCATGCGACTTGAAACTCTGAAAATGCTAAAAGAAAACCTAGGGGGAAAGCTTCATGCTGTGTTTAGGCAGTAATTTTTTTGGATATCTCCCAAACATGAGCTCTTTGTCTAACCCAAAGAAAATAGACAAATGAGATTATATGAAATAAAAAGCTTTAGCACAGCAAAGGAAACAATCAACAAGGGGTAGATATCACCTATGGAATGAGGGAAAATAGCTGCAAACCATACATGTAACTCGATAGGAAGAAAATAAGTTGATATAAAAATGGACTGAAAACTTGAATAGACATTCCTCAAAAGAAGACATAAAAATAGTTCAATATTACTAATCATTAGGGAAACACAAATCAAAATCATAATGAGAAGTCACCCACACCTATTAGACTGGCAATTACCAAAAAAATGAAAGGTGAAAAGAATTGGTGGGGATGTGAAGGAAACAGAAAGGTGTCACCAAGTTGTTTACTAGGGCCTAGCTAGGGCTGGCCTTTAACTTATCATCCTGCTGTCTCAGCCTTCTGAGTCGCTGGTATTACAAGATGTACCACCACACCCAGCTCATGTAATTTACTGAATATTATACTGAAAGTTAAAAAAAAAACAAAAAACAGAATTGTTGTATGGCTATACTTCTGCAGAATTATGAAATCAAAAATTATTAAGTTGAACCATCATAATTGGTGGACCATCTGGACTTTGGACTTCTCCTCTATCACTATAAGCTGTAAGGTGAACTGGCAACTTAAAAAAACAGGAATGAGGGGCTGGGATTGTGGCTCAGTGGTAGAGCACTGGCCAAGCACGGGCAGGACCTGGGTTGGATCCTCAGCACCACATAAAAATATAGGCATTGTGTTGTGTCCATCTACATCAAAAAATAAATGTTAAAAAAAAAAGGGATGAGGCAGAGTATATAGAGATTTCCAATGAAAGAGAATCACTGTGGAAATAGAAAAGGATGTCAAATCAGATTTTTATACTATGTTCACTTACAGAGATTGTTACTATTACTTTTAAAATCTACATATGATACCGAAGCTGGTCCAAAATAAAGTGGGGAAAAAGAAGAGAAATAGGGAAGAAGGGTGAATTCTATCAAAATAGAAAATTATTGGAGTAGTGGAAAGGGATTGATGGGGAGAGAGGAGGAACAGGATAAGGGAAAATGGTGGAATGAACCTGACCTAAGTTTCCTATGTACATATATAAATATACCACAGTGAATCTCACCATCATGTACATCCACAAGACACTAATTTTAAAAAAAATACTGCAAGTAAATAGCAGAAAGCTCAAAGTAGAGAAAAGGGAACAGGGGAGGGAAGAGGAAGCATAATGCAAAGTACTGGGGACTGAATTAAATTACATTCCATACTTTTATAATTGTGTCAAAATGAATTCTAATGTTATGTATAACTAATATGAGCCAATAAGAATGAAATAATCCCCATATGAAGACAAGAGCAGTTTGTATAATGAAAACATTTATGATGCAATGAAGAAATTTAAAATATTGGTGATTCTTAAGTTTTTCTGTTTCTTGAAACAAATCAACAACAGTAATACTTAAAGTATATTAATATTTATTTTCAACATTATTTCATCTCACATAGGAAATGGACATCTAGATCGAGGCATGTGTTAGGAAACGTAGAAGTTATTGCAAACATATCATTTAATTACTACAATATCACAATGGGGTAAATCTCGGCAAATTTATTTCCAAAGAGAAACTGAGTCCAATTAATTTAGTTAACTTAGTTAAGGGAAAGTACCAACACCACTATGATAATGAAATTCTGACTGAATTCAAAGCTCAGGTCTTAAGGATCCACAGCATACACATCTGTCACCTGCAAGAGCACCCTGGCCTGAAGCAGTTCACCCTGATCTGCTCTTGCTTCATTAATGGCTACAGGGATTGAGCATTTCAACTTTTCTTGTACCTAAGGTTTTCCTATAATGCTGTAGGCTCCTTTGATCAGCATCTCCCCAGCTCTCCTTTCTACTCCACAGAAAGAAAACAAAAGATGCATAGAGTGGCAACTAACAATAGAACACTCAAGTCTTCTACCACAAGGAAAAGCCCTAAATACCAGATGGTTGTCCCACATTACAGTTATATCTAGACATGGCTAATTGTATTGCACAGACTATGGAAGATCACAGGTTTGTTTTGCAGTCTTTAAATGTATTTCTTTTAATAAAAATAATCCCAGCCTCAATAATAAAAAGTTTTATAAAACAAAACTAGAACTGAAGGTCTTAACAGCAGACTCTGGGTATTTGCAAAATGAAAATTCAGAAGAAACAATTATTACTATTCTGAAGAGTGCAAACTGGTGGGGAGATTAACAGACTAAATTTTCTGTAATCACAAATGCATGTATTTAGTTACTGTTATGTATAAGACACTTAATTAGGCATTTTATATTTATTGACATTTAGTTTCACATAATGATCTTAACTAAGGTACAGTTTGAAATCGCAATTTGTATTTGAGAAAAAAGAACCGTAACATTTATTTACCATTACACAGTTTATTACAGAGGAAACAGGATTTGAATTAAATCCTCTGAAGATGACTCTTCACTCTGGGTAAATCTATAGTGGATGTTTTTCTCTCAACTCCCCAATAAACCTTGGGTATCCTGGGCAAACTGACATTTGCTCAAAGACTCCTCAGTTTTTGATCATCCTGGTCACAGGAGTGATTTGTGTGGATTGTTCTAAATAACACAAATGGGTGGCCAAGAGGCTTTGCTACTCTCTTCAGATCAGTGGCAGGGAAATATGAAGAAATGAGAGGGCACGGATATTTTAAACAATGATCCATCTTTATTTTGGTGCCAGAGATTGAATCCAGGAGTATTTAATCACTAAGCCACATCCCCAACTCCCTGTTTTCGTTTTTTAAATTTTGAGACAGGATCTTGCTAAATTGCTGAGGCTGGCTTTGAATTTGTGATCCTCCTATCTCCTATCTCAGCCAGAGCTCCTGGGATTACAGGTGTGCCACCACGCTCAGCATAACAATTCTCCATCTTTACAAGGGATTCGATATCTATCTTTGAGAATATGAGGAAGAATAAATGGGTACAAAAGCATCTCTCCTAACTTAAACCAGATACACCATAGTGTATCTCATCTCAAGGATGAGTAGAAATTCTCAAGTAGAGAAGGGAGACCACAGGGATGAAAGACCACAGGATGAAAGGTGCAGATGTGTTCAGAAGCAGGAGAGGAGCCTCTAGACAAGGAATCCAAAAGTAGGAGATGAGGGAATAAGAAAATTCAGCAGTTTGGTAGGCACAGTGTCATGGGGGCTGGACATTTATAAAGATTGAAATATGCATAAGCAGGCTGAGAAAAATAACATTTAGAGAATTTGTAGATGAGTGACCCATGGTTTGTGACGTTGAGAAATGAGACTATGCCTGCTTCATAGTCGAGAAAAACCCCAACACGACGGGGAGGAATAGCCATAAAGAGGGCCAACACCTTAGGATCAGAGCTGGAAGAATCCTCAAAGACGATATATTCAAAGTTATTCTGTAAACCTATAACCCAGTAGCCGTACTTAGGTCTGTATGTGGAGGACACATTTGTATGATTCTCATCTTTTCTCTCAGCATACTTTGCAGAACGTTTTCTACAGTGTACTCCCAGGATCCAGCTGGTCTTTTTGGATACATCAACTTCCCAGTAATGTTTCCCTGAAGAGAAATGTTGGGAGCTTAAGATGCCACAATCGTAACGCTTAAGTGGCCAAATACACACGCTTGTCACTTGTCTCTCATCTTCTGAAAGTGCAAGATTCAAATTTAAGTTGCCTGGATTCAATGTTAAGTCCACTGCAAGGGAAAACGAAAAAAGATCAGTGACAGACATGGAACAGGTTTATCTGGTCTCACTGTGAAGAGGGCACATGGGAAATGCACTTGGAGCAAAGTTGGGTTGATGGATTGTGGGGGGGGGGGGTGTGGAATGCTAGAGAAATGTCTATGTGAGACCACATGAGGCTCAGATGATAAGATCTCATTAAACACAAGCTTCTGAGATGATCCAAATACAGTGATCTGAAGACCCTGCAACTTCTTACCCCAGTAGCATTGGGCATCTGTTAGCTCTGAAATGAGAAAAGATGCAATGATTTTGATTAGAAGCAAAGAAAACTAGAAGCACCAATATCTATCTCTTATCCAAAGTAGAGGCAAGGTCTGGCATATGGTGAAGCTGTGAACTGCAAATGAGAGGATGAGCCAGACGCCTGGCCATTCTCCTTCACTCCTGATCATATCCTCTATGTCACAGAAGACCCTTTCTCTGACCTCCCTCCTCTCTTCCATCCTCATTCTTAGACTAGACCTGCTACCCTTGATGCCACAAAAATTCCTTATCCATACTCTTCCCCTGCTCTGCTGACCTCTGAAGCTCTGCAGCATCCCCCTCAGATCTGGAGCACGGAATACAGTCTTCAGCTTCTTGGAGACAGTTTTTGGCTTCTTCAGAGTCCAGATCTCACTCCTAGGAATGACAGAATATCTTTACCCCCACATTTTTCATCTTGTGTCCCGCCAACACCACTGCCTTCTTATCCTTCCACATCATGGATACCTCTTCCCTAAAGAACCCAAGGGAAAAAGCTTCAAAAGTGGAGTCAGAAGAAATACACTGTGTGAAATATGCTCCCACGTACCCGCTGTGTGACCTTGGGAGGATCTGCACCTCTTGAAAGCAATAGTTCCCTGTTCTAAAAATGGAATACTTGATACTTCATGGAAATAATTCAAAATTAGATGAAATAATGCATAGAAAAAGTCTCTGCTACTTCTGAAAAAGTTACATGATATGGAAAAGTCCTTACACTTCAATGGGTCTCTCTGGGAGGGCCAGGTACGTGGATGCCTGAGCAATCAACAGTGAAGCTGCAGGTCCTGGTTGTGACATGGGTACTCTGTGTGTACCAGTCCAGAGCCTGAATCCCAGAATCCACATTAGAGATTTCAGATTCTATGGGGAAGTTACAAACACTTGGCAAAGAAGCTATGATTACCGAAGTGAATATGGTCAGAATTTCTTGTGTTTGTGTAGAATTTGATGCCACCAGGTGGGTTGGCAACCACAGACACAAGGACTAAGTTTTTTTCATATGAGTTTCTAAAGCAAATAAACAAAAAGAGATTAATTATTGGCAACATGGGTCAAAGCCACTAACTCCAAGGCTTGGTTCTGTCTTAAGAAATATAGTGAGAACTGTATAGAATGACCCGATTCCTTCTATTCCCATGTAAGAAAAGAAAATATAAGAAACTGTCCCTTCCAAGTGTGGTGGTGCATGCCCATAATCCCAGAGTCTTGGGGATCTCAAGTTTGAGGACAGCCTTGGCAATATAATGAGACCCTGTCTCAAAAGGGCTGGGGTAGAGCTCAGTGGTAAAGCACCGTTGAGTACCTGAGTACCTTGAGTACCTGAGTACCACCCTAGTACCAGAAGAAAAAGGAAGAGGAGGAGGAGTGGGGGAGGAGAAGAAGGAGGAAGAGGAGGAGGAGAAGAAAAAAAGATATTCCCTATGGTCTATTTTAGGACTTGACAAAGCCCTTTATGTGGTAAGACAGCACTTGAGAAATAAGGGACCCAGAACTGTGTGCAGGGACCAAGGGTAAGTGAAATGAGGGAAGTCTCAGGAGTCCTAGTGTGGAACTCCTTACCCCTAATAAACTTTCTGACCATAACTCTGAACTCCAACCACCAAATTCACCAACATAGAATCTGTTCAGTTCTCAGTAGATATGGAACACTCAGAGCCTCACCTATAGCCAACAAGTGAAGATAATACAGCATCCAAATTTCCCTGACATGGGACATTTTTTCATTCTGACTGAAATGTTTCTAATGGCTACAAACCTTCCTTTATAGTATAAAAGCACTATTCATTGTCACCCATATGTACCATTTCATGATTCCACTTGTGTCCTAGGAAGAAGAGAAAATATAGAAATCAGATCATTATTATCCAAAGTACATGTATGAAGACACGAATTGGTGTGAATATACTATGTATGCAACCAGAGATATGAAAAGTTGTGCTCTATATATGTAATAAGAATTGTAATGCATTCTGCTGTTATATATAAATAAAAAAGAGAAAGAAAAAAAGTATTAGGATTAAACTGGGGATAGTGGTTCAAGCCTGTAAACTGAATGATTTAGGAGGCTGAGGCAGGAGGATCTCAAGTTCGAGGACAGCCTCAGTAATTTGGCAAGGCCCTTAGCAACTTGGCCAGGCACTGTCTCAAACAGAAAATCAAAAGGGTTGGGGATAAAACATCCCTGAGTCCAATCCCCAGAACCAAAAGAAAAAGCTTTAGGCTTACAGCAGGATTAATGAAAGAAAGAATAGACAAATATGAAAGAAAATCAGACAAATCAAAACAGAGTTCTTTAAAAATATCAACAAAATGAACATGCCTTCAGCTAGACATATGAAGAAAAACAGAGAGGAGATGAATTGGTAAAATTAAGAATGAAAGATGAGGCATCACTATTGACCTTACACAAATTAAAAAGTGTAAGGGGTTTGGGGTGTAGCTCAGTGGTAGAGATCTTGCCTAGCATGTGTGAGGCCCTGGGTTTAATCCACAGCACCAGGGACAAAAAAAGAATTGTAGATTATAAACAGTTCTACACCAATAAATTAGATAACCTAGATGAAATGAACAAATCTTAGAAATACAGAAACTACCAATACTAATTGAAGAAGACAGAAAATATAGATAGATACAAAACATGTAAAGAAATTACATTGGAAGTCAAAGACTTTCTACCAAAAAATCACCAGATGATTTCATTGGTGAATTCTGCTGGAGACTTTAATATATATGTCAATATTTTGTGATAGTAAAAGCAAATGTGACTCCATTTTATTTTGTGACTCCATTCTGTAAAACAACCATGCCAAGTAGAAGGGTCATGACTGGGGCAAGATGTTCTTTTCCTTTTGCTATAGAAACCTTTAAGAACATGGAACTACCTAATGGGGCATTATTTCTGTAACTAGGGTAATGGGGTTCTGTTTCTGTAACTGGGGTGACTGGGCTAACTGTGATTGGTTAGGCTTCCTGCCGCTTGACTGCACTCTTCTGCTTCTGTAACCTGGCTTGCTTGCATTGGCTAGACCCCCGAACATCCCTTTTGAGGTTTTCAGGCTTATAAGGAGTGCCCTTGTAATTGTTCGGGGCTGATCAGGGGAACAGCTTTATGTTCTGGTCAGTCACCACCAGTGTACTTCAATAAAGTCTTGATTCGATTATATGTGAGTGGTCTGGAAGTCAGTTTATGAAACCCCAGGATGAAGCTTTAACTATAACAATTTCACGAATTCTTCCAAAAAACAGAAGAGGAGGAAACACTTCCCAACATAGTATCTGAGGCCAGCCCTACCCTGATACTAAAATCACACAAAGATATCACAAGTTAAAACAAAACAAAAAACAATCCCCCAGCCAATATTCCTTATGAAGATAGACATAAAATTTTTTTTGTTTGTTTGATTTTTTTTTTAATTTTTTATTGTTGGTTATTCAAAACATTACATAGTTCTTGATATATCATATTTCACCCTTTGATTCAAGTGGGTTATGAGCTCCCATTTTTACCCCATATACAGATTGCAGAATCACATCAGTTACACATCCATTTATTTACATATTGCCATACTAGTGTCTGTTGTGTTCTGCTGCCTTTCCTATCCTCTACTATACATAAAATTTTTCAAAAAATACTGAAAAAAATCAAATCTAGGAAAAAAATCATGACTACTCTAAGCATGATGGGATTTAATTCAGAAATGCAAGTATGGTCAGCCAAGAAAATGAATCAATGTAATACTTCACATTAATAGAATAAAGAATAAAAACTGCATAATGATCCCCAAGGAGGCAAAAAAAAATACTTGATAAAATTTCACATGCTTTCAAGATAAAAGCAAAAGAGGAAGGGTCAACAAATTAAGAGCAAAAAGGAGCTGCTTTTTCCTGATCAAGGGCATCTACAAAACCCTAGCGCTAGCACATACTAAATCGTCAAAACCTGAATGCCTTTCCCCCAAGATCAGGAAAAAGGTGAGAATGAATGCCTTCATCACTCCTATTCAACATAGACTATTATTAGCTATAAAAATAAAGCAACAGGTTTGTTTCCAGAACCTCAGATGAGGTGATTCCTCTACCTGCAGTAGCTCCAGTGTTGACCATTGACTCCGACGCTCTAGATCTGAGAGGAGCTCTTTCACCAACTGCTTCTGATAGACCAGCTCATCCTCTGCTTCTGCCAAGCTATCCAGTGTCGTCTTCTCCTCCCGATCCAATCTTTGTAGCTCTCGCTCTTCCTCGCTGTCCAGGATTCTTCTAAGATGATTAAATTCCATTTGTATCCTTTTTCTCTCAGTCTCTACCTGACACTGCAAAGATAGGCAGAGAGAGAGAGAGAGAGAGAGAGAGAGAGAGAGAGAGAGAGAGAGAGAGAGAGAGAGATGCAATGAGTCTGTTGAGGGTCTACGGTGTAATATATTAGGAGCCAGGAGGAAAACATTTTTCAGGAACTTCGAGCCAGGAGTATAGAAGCAGGAGAGCAATTCTGGGGGAATTGGTTTTTATTTCTCCCTACTATTTTCCTTTCAGTACCTACTAAAGCAATGACCTCAGACAATATTTTCTAGGCCCACACTCATTGGGGCTTGACTTGTAAACTGTTACCCCAGATACTCATGACTACCCATTATCATGCTCCTCATTTTTGAACCTTGAAGAAATCTTTGGTCTTTTGCCCAGTGCCCTCCTACAAAGTGTAGGAGCTTCAGAGGAAAAGAAAAAGGGAAGACAGTATTCTCTAGGCTTCTGCAGTCCATCACAGTGCTCAATTTCAAATATTTTGTGTACCATGACATATCCGCTCTCCAGCCCTCCCCCACAACAAGAAACTAATCAAATGGCTGCTGGATTTATTCTGAGTCGGGGGACAAAGATGAAGGTGCTCCTTGGATTAGAACCAAAGGTCCTGCCCAAGTTTCCTGTGTAAGAATCTCTCAGGGAGAGTTTTTTCCTGCCTTCCAAGAAGTGATCTCTTCTTGGATATCAGCTTCCAACTTCTCAGCTTCTTCTTGTTCCTTCCTCAGCCTCTTGAGAACTGCTTGGAGCTTGTCCTGTGGGAAAGGAATCACACCAGAATCAAGCGTGGAGGTTTCTCCACCCTTGGACAGAGGATGAACCTGGATAAAACCAGGTTGACCTCAGAAGACAATAGAGTTTACAAAAGCTGTGAGATTGATGATTAAAATCTATGACATGGGAGGAAATTGGAAGTGAATGTATTCATTATTCCTGGGGGACGAAAATGATGATCTCACCAACAGCAGCCTGCTTCTCTTTTCTTAGGGTGAGTACAGACTCTACAGCACATTCAACCACATTCAACCCACAATGTTCCCCCCATGATCATCCTGCTGAAAGGAGCAGTTACAGCTAAATTTGAGAAAGAATTCTCTACTTACAATGAAAGAAGACTCACCACCACCACCACCACTACCAAATCTACTCTGGCTAAGACCCTAGGATCACCCCTTATGTAAATGAAGGGAATATACAGACTCCAGGTATTAGAAACTGAATGTAGGGTCAACATGAGTAAAGAAAAATGGAAAAGTGAGATTTCTTACTCAGGACCACCTTCTGCCCTTTCTCTCTCCATCAAGGGACCTACCTGACATTCCTTGGTCACTTCATCCATGAGTAATGTTCGGTGCCCACGGTGCTCTCGAGAAAGCTCACAAAGCCAGCAAATTACCTTCCTATCCTCCACACAGAAGAGTAGGAGTTTCTCTCCATGGCGTGCACATAAGTCTGCATTTTGCACAGTGCTAGGGCTCAACTTGACTTCCCTGAGTCCTTCTGCTACGTCAGCTGGAGGCTGATTAGCTTTGGTATTTCCAAATAAGTTCCTGATACTACATATGAAACACCTGTTTTCCCCTCCTGGGCTGGTCACAGATTTCTTGTTCCTAGAGATGCATGTTTGGCAATAGCTGTGACCACAGCCTAGAGTCAGTAGCTCTGTTAAATGCTTTAGGCAGATGGGACATTTTGCCTTTTCTTGTGTGTTCACCAGGGTTTTTGAAGCCATCGCATTTCTTCCCTGGCTTCCTCCGGTCATAACTCCTGATGCTTTTCTTGTGTAATCCTTCTGGATGACTAGGCAAATTAAAAAAGGATGGTGTTAGAATGGCAAGAATAAGGATTCTAACTGTGTGCACATTAAAGACTGATCAAGACCACACTCTGGAGGAACCAAAAGAAGGAGAGGGAGAAATCAGAAATGAAATTCAATGGCCCAGTTGAGCCACTGATTCCCCAGGGTTTTTGTTCTTGCTCTTTGCTGATCTTCCTATTGATATTTGCATGGCTTTTATACTTCCTTCAACTCTCTCCTTACATGGTTCCTCATTAGACAGGACTGCTCTAACTCATCTATTGAACAACAAATGCATCACTGAATGAATGCACATTAGCCATCACAAAATCTTATATGTGTGAATGCTTGGCACCCAGTGCAGCAATATTCAGAGTTGGCACTTTAAGGAAATGATTGGATCATGAAAGCTTTGATCTCAATACTGGATTAATCCACTGATAGCTGAATGAACCACTGGAAGGTGGTGGAAACTATATGCAGGTAGGGCTTGGTTGGGGAAGTATGTCCTTGGGACTTAACTTGTCCCTAGATTTTCCCTCATAATCTTTGTCATCTTTCTGGATACCATGAGCTGAGTAGTTTTCCTCTGCAATGCCCTTCCACCTGCCTCACCTGGGGCCCAAAGCAATGGAGCTGGCCAACCGTGGACTGAAACCTCTGAAATCATAAGTGAAAACAAGCCTTTTCTCCTTTATCTTGTTATGCCTGGTATTTTGGTCATAGCAACCAAACATGACTAATATAATACCCAGTTCTAAGTTAGAGTAGAAGTGGAGGAATCCAGACCAGTTGTCGTGTTGAGTCTTGTGTTTGTAGGCGATGGGATTTTTATCTTGGTCTAAAAATATGTCAGGGATGTTGACAGGAACCTAAAGATGTATATTTGTAGGTTTGGGGAGATGGTATAAATAAATCATATTCATCTCTGATACCTAAGAAAATAAATTCCAGTGGGATAACTGTTGGTCAGAAGAGAGATGTCTCAATATCATAAAGGGAGACCATAGCATGGAGAGATATTTTAATCCATATTTATATATTTGATGTGAGTTATTTATATATTCATTCACCAAAACAAATTATCACTGAAGATAAATTGCCTTCAATGATTAAAATCTAGAAAATGGATTAAAATCAAAAGTCCAAGATTGAACATAAACAGATAACACTGGCCATAATAAACTTAGTGGTCAACTAAACAAGACAGAAGCTAGTTAAATAATCTTTTTGTTTTTAACACTTATTTTTTAGTTGTAACTGGACATAATATCTTTATTTTATTTATTTATTTTTATGTGGTGCTGAGGATCGAACCTAGGGCCTTGCACATGCTAGGTTAGCACTCTACCGCTGAGCTACCATCCCAGCCCCTTAAATAATCTTTAACAAAGGTGTAAAAGTATAAGCACTACTATACAGAGGTATATGCTTTGAGGAAATCCAATAATGTGCCAAAGGGAATATCCAAGATATTCTCCTTAAATGGTTAAAAGGTGAATTGAAAGCTGAATGATGAGAAGGGAATATGGAATGAGGAAGAGGAGAAATATTTTTAGGTAAATGGAATCACATTGGTAAATGCCCTGTGGAAAGAAGACAGCATCTCAAATTTCAAGTTGCAATTTTGGCTGGTGGGCAAAAAGTGGTAATTTGCTTTGCTGAATGAATATATAAATAACTCACATCTAACAAGGTAATAAGCTAGGCCTTTAGCAATCCTGCAGGACCCGGCTATCTGACACTTCCCAAGTGAAGTGAAAGTGATGGTCTATTTCCAAAAGCAACACCCTCTTTCCATCATTGGATGGGAGGAAGGAGGACAAGTTGATGGAGGAAACAGAAGCAGAAAAAAAAAAAAACTGAAGAAATATGATGAGGTAAAAGAAAGAAGATTGGGAATTAAATTGGACATGTGAGGGAAGAAAAGGATTATCACTAGGCATAAGGTCTTACTTCCAATACAAAGGACACTGGGATTACCTGCTCCTAGTATTTTCTTTTTTAAATTATGTTTTTTTGGCAAGCACAGACCTTGTTTTCACAAAAGAGTTGTGATATATATATATATGGACCCTTTAGGTCCTTAGAAACTGTGTTCTGACTCTAATAAGGTACTCAGTATGTTGGAATGAGGTTATGTAAGCTACATTAGTTTACATATACTTGTAAACTTTCCAACACATATAGTTGTTCTCTTTAAAAATGAGCTTTCGTGGGACTTGGTGGCGCATACCTGTAATCCCAGCAGCTCAGGAAGTTGAGGCAGGAGGATCGAGAATTCAAAGCTAGCCTTCCGCAACTTAGCAAGACACTTAGCAATTCAGTGAGACCTTGTTTCTAAACAAAATATAAAAAAGGGCTGGGGATGTGGCTCAGTGGTTGAGCACCCCTGGGTTCAATCCTCAATACCAAAAAAGAAAAAAAGATCTTTCAACAGAGGGATGGAATCCTTTTCATCATTGTGAGGATCCTCTCTGTGCTGGATGCTGTATGTCCCTGCCTGTATCCCCTTGTTAAGCAAATGAACTTGGATGTATGTGATGTTAACATGTGTGAGTTTCCTCTTCCACAACTTTCCACCAAGATGTTCTGCCTCATCTGGGACCCAGAGCAATGAAGTTGGCAGTCTATGGAATAAGACTTCTGAAACCATGAATGCTAAATAAACTTTTCCTACTCTAAAATTGTTCTTGTCAGGTTTTTTGGTTAAATCAATGAAAAACCAGACTAAAACAGTCCCCCACAAAGATATGTTCAGCTATGTGAATGTGACTTTATTTGGAAATAAGATTTTTGTAGATGTACTCAAGTTGAGGTCTTACAAGATAGGATGGGTCCTAAATCCAATGGCTTGCATCCTTGTAGAGAAGGGGACACACAGTCACATAAGGAAGCAGAGGCAGGATTTGGAGTGATAAAGCTGCAAGCCAAAGAATGCTTAGATTGCTAGAAACTACTGGAGGTTAGAGGAGGTATAAAACAGATTCTCATTTATAGCCTCCTGAAGGAACCAAGTCTACTATGAACTTGATTTTTAACTACTGGCCTCCTGAACTTTTGAGAGAATGAATTCCTGTTGTTTAAGGTAATCTAAAATATGGTAATTTTTACAATATACCTAGGAAACTAATACAGTTAAAAAGGTTTGAGCTGGGTGCCATCTATAATCCCAGTGACTCAAGTAGCTGAGGTAGGAGGGTCGCCAATTTGAGGCCAGCCTGGGCAAATTGGTCTGTCTGAAGATGTAGTTCAGTGATGGAACACCCTTGGGTTTAAAACCCAGTACTACCAAAAAAAGAAAAAAAGAAAAGAAAAGAAAAATAAAAAGTTTCATAGTGTAAGACCTGCAATATGTGATAACCAATAAATACCATCTCCCAGCTCTTCAAAAGAATCATGGAGCATGATGAAAGATGTACAGAGATATTTCAGGCATAGGGATCAACTTGCTCCCTCAACCTCATCCATAAAATGAACCTAATAAGATTAAAATTGGGCTGGTGGGTTTAATCTAGACAATAGTCCAATACTAAAAGTCATCTAAAGGACAAATGCTGTTAGGTCCTGGCTACAGTGACTACCTATAGGTCATACCAGGCTCTCATGACTAGCAAGATTTACATGATATATACTCACTTGTTATGACTAAAGCTATGATCATATATGTGGAATTCTCTGTTATCTTTGCTTCCTCTTAGTATCTTACGGAAACTGAGAAACCCCAAGGACCTACAGAGGAGGAAGTAGTGGAAAATGCCTTCTGCCATGGAGCTGTGACCACATCTCCACAGCTGGGCGACAAGTTGCTGACAAAGCAGCTGCCACCTTTACGGCCAAAGAATGAGGAAGGTACAGAGGAGTCAGATTCCCGAATGTGGGCAATGATTTCACTGCTGCCCAGGAGAAACCCAAGCCCAGCAGCATGCAGGGAAGTAGAGAAGAAAACATGAGTGGCATCTTTCTGATAGAATTCCCAGGTCACCAGGCTACTGTGAAGTAGGAACTCCTGAAACAGAGATCTCTGAAATAAAAAGGTTTATTGAGCCTTTACAGATGCTGGTCAACAAGAATCAGTCCCAGGACAAGTTCCCTCGGCTAGGTGGCAGTTGGAAAAATGTCTGCCAGATCTAAGCCAGAGAATTTTATAATGAAAACAGAAGGAAGGAAGGCAGAGAGGGGTTATTTACACTGAATCTACATGGGTTATTAAAAAGAAGGGCAGGCTTACACCACCTTTTGGGATAGATGGGCAGTATGGAACCTTGAAGGGTTGAGAGGATTTAAGGTTTTAATTGTCATGAATGTAAAATGGTGCTTTGGTGTTTGTGGCCTGTAGCTTGTAACTAATTAACCTCCTTGCCACCTTCTCTCTCTTCCCACCTCCACTCCACTTTGTAATTAAATTTAGGGCACCTCAGAAGTCTTTCCTTATCACTACATGGGTGTCAAGTGATTGCACCCAACACTTGAGTCTTTCCCTACCATCTGCACTAGTGTAAATGCAAACTATGTCTCTCTGCAGGTTAAGTAGTAAAATTGGAGTGTGTTTTAAGAAGTGAACTTTAGGGAAGACTGTCCTTTGAAGTTTTTAGACAGTCAATGAATTCCCAAGTCACTTTTTACTATGGTACCATTTTCAATTAGGATAAGTTGAGAGTGTTTCCTTCAAGTTATCTTCAACCACGTCCACTGCCACCACACTGTTACAAGCCACCTGTTTATTCTGCCTGCCTGGGTTCCAGAAAATTGTCTACTGCTGGTGTTCCTAATACTTTCATTGTCTTTCTTACTGGGCTCTCTTCACTGTTTTCTTAGGATACTGACTGCAGGAAGCCTCTTAAAAGCAGATGACAATCAAGTCACTCCTCTGCTCAAACCCAGCTTTAATGATGGTCCAGTTAGGGATAGATCATACCTCTCCTTTCCCAGCAGCATCCCTCTGAGCCCACCTGCTATTCTCACTGCAAACTCTTGCCCAACCAACCCTGTCCTACTTTCAATGTCTGAGAAAATCCTAGCCTGTATTAAAAGAGTTTAAATTCCTCACATTCTTCAGATTCTATTCAAAGTTCTCCTTACAAGGAGGGATAGATGAAAAATTACTTAAATTTGAAAGGCCTTTTTCAGGTCTCTTTTGAACCCATAACAGCACAATTCACAGTAGCCAAGCTGCAGAACAAATCTATGTGCCCTTCAACAGATGAATGAATGTATCTATACATATAGATACATACATAGCACATGTTTATGTATATCATGCTAAGGGAAACAAGCCAGTCTCCAAAAAAATCAAAAGTCAAATGGTTTATCTGATATTGTAACAGTGGTCCCTTCACCTTCTGAATGTAGCCGTCATTGCTCTAAGGCTGTTTTTGTTGTTGTTTTTGTTTTGATGTTTTTTTCTCTCTGCTCTTCTCTCCCCCTCCCTAACAAGATTAGGGAGAAAGTGTTCTTTTCTTCCCCTAGTTAACTGCCCTTGAACACACCCACTATAGGAAGGAGATGACTGCTGAGGATCTGAGAAGTGAATATCTCCCAAATTAACAAGTGAATCCTAACAGGCCACCAGGGTACCCTGGGACCCTCTAGCAGAGCACACCTGGAACATAACCCTTGAAGGATTCCTTTAAAACCCCACAGCCCCTCCTGAGCAATAGAGTCACAGCCTTTGGGATAGAAGTCCCCTGTGTTTCTCCTTTGCTAGCAAAGCAATAAAACTTCTTTTTCCTTTTTCTCAAAACCATGTCCTCATTATTAAATTGGCATTGATAGGCTTTGGGCACAGGGACTGAGCTTTCAGTTACAATATGTGGAAGTTAATCCAACCTAGTGGGAGATAAGATCAATGGAGTAGACAAAGTGGACTGAAGAAGAGGGAGGAGGTATGGGATAAGGAAAGAACAGTGGAGTGAATCTAATCTAATTTTCCTATGTTCATATATGAGTATCCCACAGTGAATCTCACTATCATGTACATTTTGAAGACGCTAATTAAAAAAAAAAAACAAAACTAAGTAAATAGCAGAAAGATCAGTAGAGTATAGGGAAGGGAACAGGCAGAGGGAAGAAGGGAACAGGCAAAGGGAGAAATAGAGGGAAAGGAGAAGTACTGAGGACTGAATCACAACAAATTATAATCCATGCTTTTGTAAATTTGTCAAAATGAATCCTAATGTTATGTAAAACTAAAAAGAACCAATAAAGAAAAAAAAATAAAACAACCCTGTAATATCGGTAATTTTGTATCTTCTATCTTCTTATGTGTGTATACACACACACACACACATATATGTATATACGTATATATATATGTATATATGAATAATATATTTTGTATATTCTTATATATCTTCTTGTATATTCTATTAATTACTTATTGTTTGTTTTCATTCCCTAACTAGGATGTAAGCTCCTATATGTATTTCATATTTATTAAAAGTTGAATGAATGGGGCTGGGGATGTGGCTCAAGCGGTAGCACGATCGCCTGGCATGCATGCGGCCCGGGTTCGATCCTCAGCACCACATACAAACAAGGATATTGTGTCCACCGAAAACTAAAAAATAAATATTAAAATTCTCTCTCTCTCTCTCTCTCTCTCTCTAAAAAAAAAAAAAGTTGAATGGATGGTCACTGAAGCTTTTCACATCAGCAACCTGCTTTAGTTCCTTCAAATTGAGCTTTTTATAACTAAGTCAGTCCATTTTGGCCTGTATCTTGCTAGATCAGCATCTGGGCAGAAGCAAACCCTCCCCAGGAGTCAGGCAGACTCATAGCAAGGCAGGTACAGTCAACTCTGAGAAATGGGAGTGAGGGACAGCATGGTGGGTATCAGAATGCACCTAACACCCATCAAGGCCAATTGCTCACAAGTGAGCCTCAAATGGGAAATACTCAGGGTCAACAGACAGCAAGTTGATTAGCAAGACCATTGCAACTTTAGGTTCTCCCTGAAAATAACCTACTCTTGATAATTAGCTCTGAGCAAAGAAAATAGTAATAAATGGAGGTAACAATCAATGCAAAGGTGCGGGGTAGGATTAAAAAAAAAAAAAGAGGACATAAAGGAAATGAAAGTTTAATACAGAAGTTCCACATAGCTTTCCAGGCTGTCACTCTCTAAACCACCTTTTGTCTCACAAGCTTGTCACTCCCAAATTCCTAGGAAATCTCTACATCTTAAAGTTTTTTTTTCTTTTTTTTTATTGGTTGTTCAAAACATTACAAAGCTCTTGACATATCATATTTCATACATTAGATTCAAGTTGGTTATGAACTCCCAATTTTACCCCTAATACAGATTGTAGCATCACATCGGTTACACATCCACATTTTTACATAATGCCCTATTAGTAACTGTTGTATTCTGCTACCTTTCCTATCCTCTACTATCTCCCCTCCCCTCCCCTCCCACCTTCTCTCTCTACCCCATCTACTGTAATTCATTTCTCTCCTTGTTTATTTTCCCATTCCCCTCACAACCTCTTATATGTAATTTTGTATAACCATGCGGGTCTCCCTCCATTACCATGCAATTTCCTTTTTCTCTCCCTTTCCCTCCCACCTCATGTATCTGTTTAATGTTAATCTTTTCTTCCTGCTCTTCCTCCCTGCTCTGTTCTTAGTTGCTCTCATTATATCAAAGAAGACATTTGGTATTTGTTTTTTAGGGATTGGCTAGCTTCACTAAGCCTAATCTGCTCTAGTGCCATCCATTTCCCTGCAAATTCCATGATTTTGTCATTTTTTAGCGCTGCGTAATACTCCATGGTGTATAAATGCCACATTTTTTTAATCCATTCATCTATTGAAGGGCATCTGGGTTGGTTCCACAGTCTAGCAATTGTGAATTGTGCTGCTATGAACATCGATGTAGCAGTATCCCTGTAGTGCGCTCTTTTAAGGTCCTCAGGGAATAGTCCGAGAAGGGCAATAGCTGGGTCAAATGGTGGTTCCATTCCCAGCTTTCCCAGGAATCTCCACACTGCTTTCCAAATTGGCCGCACCAGTTTGCAGTCCCACCAGCAATGTACAAGAGTACCCTTTTCCCCACATCCTCTCCAGCACTTGTTGTTGTTTGACTTCATAATGGCTGCCAATCTTACTGGAGTGAGGTGGTATCTTAGGGTGGTTTTGATTTGCATTTCTCTGACTGCTAGAGATGGTGAGCATTTTTTCATGTACTTGTTGATTGATTGTATGTCCTCCTCTGAGAAGTGTCTATTCAGGTCTTTGGCCCATTTGTTGATTGGGTTATTTGTTTTCTTATTGTTTAATTTTTTGAGTTCTTTGTATACTCTGGATATTAGGGCTCTATCTGAAGTGTGAGGAGTAAAAATTTGTTCCCATGATCTACATCTTAAAGTTAAACCTAAGTCCATTTACTTGTGATGACTATCTTGAGCGCTGTTAATTACTTCCTCCACCAATAAATGGATTAGGTAAAGAGAGAGGGTATTTTGAGAAACCTGTAATTTTTTAGGGGGACTTTCCTGCACTATCATTGATCAGATAATAAAGACTAGTTCAATATGAGGATCCTAAGACTGACCAGACTGCTATAATCTCCTTGAGATCACCCTACTGATATCATTCCTACATACCTTCCCTTTTCCACTTCTCACAAAGTTTCCTTTAAAAAGTGCTGGGAGTCCCAAAAACCATCTCTCACTGTAGAAGTGACCCACATTTCCCCTTGAATACCTACCCCTTCCTAGCCTAAATAAATATCTGTGCCTCTACTGACACCTGCTGAAATTCTTTTCTATCAATTATACCAAAGACCCCACTGGTCCTGAGCAGTTTCCTTCTCTCTCTGAGAACCCCTTGGGACTCTCTTCTGATTATAACTCTTTTCCCAGAATAGGTGTGCACATGAGAAAGAATGATGAACAATTTCCAAGGCAGGGGAGGATAGAGGATTACATGCACTTCTGAAGTAAGAGTAAGCAAGTCAGGTGAAGAGGCACACACCTGCAGACCCAGCTACTGAGGCAGGAGGGTCCCAAGTTGAAGGCCAGCCTGGGCAACCTTGCAAGACCCTGTCTCAAGAGGAAAAATAGAAAGGGCTAGGAATGCAGCTCAGGGGCGGAGCACTTGCCAGAAGCCCTGGGTTCTTTCCCCAGCACTGAAACAAAACATCAAAGTAATCAAGTGTATACAGAGAAAAACAAGCGACTGGAGCTCCAGGACACAAACTAAAAGGGGACAAAGAAGCAGACAGCAGTCAGGTCATCTAACCAGCTGTCCTGGGGTAGGCCAAGGGCTAGGGACAGGACAGGAAGCCAAAGCCTCTCCGTGGTTGCCAGGAGGCAGGTGAAAAGCGACATTCCATCTGCCATGGGCTGTGTTCTATCTGCTGCTAACAAGTTCACCTCAGGAGCTTGGGCTTTCACAAATCCAGGGTCCCTGAAATACAGGGACCCCTCTCCTCTGAGGAGGTAGAGTGGAACACAAATGAAGAAGCCTTCTGTTTCTCTCTTTGAAAAACAGAGGCCAAGGAGATTCCATTTTCCCTCATGAGGTAGAAAAATCAAACCTACAGAACAGGAAGGCTGTTTAACAGGGATGGACTTGGCCTGGAGAAACAAGCACTCCTCTAGGAAATAAACAAGACCTCGGCCTCCTCATCACTCTCTTTCAAGGCAGTTAAGACTGTCTGCACTCCCTTCAGAGCAGACCAGTCTCTGAGCAGGAATTAAACTCCCCCGACTGACTTCACTTGTTACTTTCCTCCCAGGGTCTCCCACCCTCTGCCCCCTCAAGCCTCCCCACACACCTTCAGGCCCCAGCAGGGAAATCTCAACTCCTGGTTAAAGTGGTGGAGAAAAGCCAGGGCAGGATTCACTCACCACAAGCTGCTCAGCTGCAAGTAGTCCCTCCCTCCCAAAAGCTGGCTGAGAAACGAAAGTGAAATTCTTGGGGCATACAGGAAGAGGAACAGGGAAGAAGTTTCTGGGCCAAAGAACCTGTGGATCTTCAGGCCACTGGGGAGAGGGTGATGGATTAACAGTGTTTCTCCACGGGAGAAAGAGAAATGTTCACTGCAGGGAAATTCTCAAACTCCAAAGAGATTTCTGGTTGTCATAACAGAGGCTGCTACTGGTGAAGCCAGAATTAGACAGGCAGTCAGCCTAGGTAGGTCAGGCTGGATCAAGGAGGCCAATTTTGAGTGAGTCCTGGAAGTTGGAGACAGTCCCTGAGGGATTGAAATGTTAATTCCTTCAGAGCCCTTCTTTCACCCTAATCAAAAACCTAACCCCGCCTTAATCTGTTGCTAAGGTAACCTGTCCCAGCAATTGCCCCTCCCTACAGGAAGCTATAAGCTGTTAATTAGTGAGTCCTGAGTTGCTCCATCCAGCCCTTCCCCCTTCAACCCACCCGTTTCCCACCTTTTGGCCATCCCACCAAGCATTCCTGGGCCTAGTCTGGTAAACTGAAAATAAAGAGATGAAGGGAAGAGGGCAGGAGAACAAAGGATACCTAGAACATATAAAAAGGGCAGAACACCTTGTTTCTGGGGATACCAAGATACCAGCTGCGGCCCCCTCCTCCCTCCCAGGAGAAATCTATGTTACCCCTTTTTAAATAAAACCCAGCTTTGTATGCTTGCCTTGACGTGGGCGTGCTTCTCTAAGGTTCAAAGTTCAACGTGTGAGGAAGCAGAACTCACCAAGGGCAGTATCCCTTACCCTGAGGGTAAGGCAAATCTCCTGGTTGTAAGGTAGCGCTTTCTGAGAGACTACTGGAAGAATTGATTCTAAAAATGCCTCCCTTTAGCAGCTTAAAGAGAACAGCACATTTTAAACATCAGAGTGGTAAAACAGACTAGTGAAAGTTACCTATGCACCTTAGGGAACCTGGGCAGCTTTTACTAATTATCCCATGCCTTTCTCTCAGTCCTACAACCTGAATTGCTAACAATTCTGACCCACGGAGGAAGGAGAGCATCCAGGAAGGAATGGATGCAAGGTTGGGAGTGTTGTGTAGCCCACACAGAGGCAAATGTGATTGGGGCTTTCCCTCAGTGCCATTCATCTACCGATCACCCTAGATACCCCTTAGGGCTGTCAGGAGGGGACTCAAAGAGAAAGGAACCTTAGGAATACATCTGAGTGTAGCCCAGACCGGAATTCCGCAGTTGTTCCAAACTCCTTCCTCCACCTCCACGCATCCGAGGCAGATTGGGATTAGGGACAGTGTATACCCACACCAATTGCTCTCTGGGCCCAGACAGAAAAGTTGGAAGCGGCTTTGGTAAAACCCAACATGCCTGCTCTGTATTGAAAAGGTGATTGAGAGCTGCCTAGACCAGGAAACCTCTCACCCAAGTCTTGAAGTCTTGAAGCGGCTGCACTAATTGTGTTTAAGTAGCCATCGAGTGCCCACCTTACCCTCCAGAAAGAAAGATGCACCTCAGACAGACATGGGGTGCGTGGAGAGGCGCTTACTTTGGTGTAGAATCTTGGTTGGGAACCTCCAATATGTTACCTCTGTTGACCGGTGACGAGTCCTTGCTTCCCCAATGTTGAAGAATAACACCAGAGAAGCACGCCGAGGCAAGGTCAGAGTGGAAAACAGAAGTTTATTAAAGGACAGCAGAAAAGACTTCTCCCGGAGGAAGAAGGGGACCCAAGAGGTGGAATCCATTGAAGGTCGAATGTGTTCCCCTTTTTATAGTTCTTTCAGTGATGGAATGTAGGTGGGAAGGCCCGAAGGGTGGGGCATAGGTGGGCCTAAGAAGTAATCTGGGCAGGAAGGACTTTTGAGTCGGCATCTTCAAGTTTGCTGGAAGCTGTTTCATTAACACTTCTTTGGGATAGGCTCTGGGCCTTGGGGACATTAACATTCCTTGAGTTGTCCTGCGTTTCCTGGACTTCATTAATATCCCAAGAGTTATTCAGCTTTTCCCAGAATTCATTCTCAACATGGCCTTCATTTTGAATCTTACTCGATATTAGACCCGATTTACCTAACTACACTGACTACCTAATTTTAAATCTGGCTTCAACATGTGCCTGGATAACCTTGACTATGAAAGAAAATTAAGTTTTCTACGTGATCCTTATGTGAATCAGGCTGAGAGTTACTGGCCTCTCATACTGACACTGGTCTTTTGGGCCCTAGACAAAGAGGAGTGCTTTGAAAATGAGGTAAGCTTGAAACTTCTGATGGGGAGGAATCCTGAACTGGAAAAGTCACCCCTCTTCTTGTATACAGGATTATGCAAGCACATTGTGATTTCATGAAGAGAATTTAAGTTGATGGATTCATTTTCTATGTTTTATTTGAGAAAATCCTTGCTTACTTCCTCCTGAAGATCTTGATGCAGAATGAACAGTGCTACCTTTGGAAACTGCTTGACGAGGTATAGTTGTCCTTTTGGCCTCTTTCATAATCTTACTCATGCTTTAGGACCCAAAGAAAGTCCCAGGGAGAAGGACGATAACAAATTTGTTGGAAATTTAGCAACTGTCCCATTAAAAAAAAAAAAAAACTGCATCCAAAAAAGTTGGACATATGTTTTGGCTCACATTAATGGAGTCAAATATTATTCTCCCATTCCAGTTTCTACTCCTTAGTTCAATATTGGTAACTCATATCATTTAGATAGTTAATCATTAGGCAGATTTGTTAAATCATTAGTTGAGATGTGTTTACTAACTAAGCCCATGAGTTCTCTTAAAGCAGGCCAGACACTCCCACCCAGAAACACTTACCGTAATTAAGCAGAAACCCCCACCATATTTGTGGCATATAAGTTAGTTCCTCTTCTTATCAGAGAGCTTTTTGGACAGAACATCAGCTATCAGCAAAAATCTACAGAAGGCATTGTGGTTTGTGGCTTCCTCTTTGTTTATACATGTCAGGTTTGCAGAAAAAAAAGTGTGTGAAACTTCTGTCTAGAGTATAGAAGGAAAAGTGCTTGTCATATGAACCTCCCCCTCACCCGCTCCCCACCCCTGCCAAAACGGGGGTATAAAATTCAAAGGATTTTTATCCTCATTGTCCAGGGGAGAATTTTTAGGCAACAGCCTGTCTGGACCCTACAATTAATAAGCCTGCTTCCTGAAAATTCCTCAGGTGTCCAGTGTCTTCTGTCCCACTTCACTGTGACATCCTATTTTTCATTCCTAGTTTGTTCATGCTGGGTGTGGTGGGTGGCACATTCCTGAAATCCTAGAAACTTGAAGCCTGTGGTAGGAGGATTGTAAGTTTGAGGGCAGCCTCAGCAATTCAGTGAGGTCCTAAGCAAATTAGAATGACCCATTTTCAAAACAAAAAGTAAAAAACGCTGGGAATGTAGCACAGTGATAAAGTGCTCCTGGGTTAAATCCCCAGTACCAAAAACAAAAATTATTTTGTTCAGTATTTTTTTTCCTCTATTTTTCTTTTAATTCATTTCTCTATGAATTCAACAGACATATAACCATGTCCTGTCTTTAGCTTCTGTTATCTTCTTAATTATTATCCACTCACAAATGTTAAAGGAAAAAAAAATATCACTTTTGGGGTATCAACAGTTCCTCTGCTGCTTCACTCTCAACTGAATCATGATACTGGGAGAAACAAATGATCCAGAAATAAAAATAAGCAAGTTTGGTCCATTCAAGAATCTGCAAGTATTCCATAGGTTATATTTGGAGCTATGGTTAAATAGAGAAGAGATTGAAAGAGGGGAAAAGAGATGTATCCTCAAGGCACAGAGAAATATCTGGGATTTATCTACTTCCACCAGTGCAGAAGAAAAGCCTGGGCTTTCCCAGGTCCCTCTAGCTTGTTTTGCTCAATCCCCAAATTCTCCCAGAGCAGAATGGTACAGGGCTCTTTTCTCAGCTGGCTTCTGTTTGCAAAACTGCTTCAGAAGTCTGGAACTTACATATGTGGAAAATAATTTTATACATCTTTTAATTATTTTTCCTCCGGAAACATTTCTGATTTTTTTGGTTGGACATTTTAATTTTCATATAACTATTTTCCAAGAAGTTTCTGAAGCTTATTAGCACAGAACTGTACAGTACTTTTTTTAACAGTTTAATTATCTGTAATGAACCATTTTTTTTTCATTTGCAATGTTATTGATTTGCTACTCTCTGTCTTCTTTAAAAATGTTTAAAATGTTTGCTTACTTAAACTAAAAATTATTTTAGTATATATTCTATCAAAAAAAAAATGAAATCTCCCCTGTATGGGGGGGGGGGAGACACACACAGCAATTTAGAGACAGAAGGAGCTGGGATTATTTTTTTAAACTTCAAATTGTGCAGTTGTTTCTACCTGTAATACCAGCTAGTGATAATTTGAATGACTCAGGGGAAACAGCTGGGGGTGGGGTGGGGTGGGGTGGGGGGTGGAATGCGATGGTCTTAGCAGCTAAATGAGGGGCACTAAGCAAGATGGTCACCATGAGAAGCAAACTCCCACACTTGAAGAGAAAGCTGTCTTTCCTTTAAAAGAGACACTGGTTCAAAATAAAATTTATCTTCAAAGTAGTTACTTGTTTCTTGTTTGTTTCAGTTAAAACTCTTTGGAGAAACTTACAAAGAACCAAGGCAAGGTTACAGGTTACGGAACCACTCTGACTCTGTTAGATGACCTAGAGTAAACTTGGCCCAGTGCAACATGGGCATGCCCAGAAGCATTTTTCAATATCCCCAAGAATAATTTCCAACACTTAGGATCTAGGAACACAAGTGTATGGTGTCAGTGGCAAAGCAAGCCTAAGGAGAAAAACCATTCCCCTCTTCCCACCACAGGGAGAACAGATGATTCACTGGAATAGGGAGGATGAAGACCTCAAAGAGAGGTACTGTGGAAGGGAATGGATGAGGGGACCTATCTTAAAAATAAAACAAACAAACAAAAAAATATGGGGCTGGGGTTAGAATCAAGAATTACCCAGCATTATTCTCACAAAAATGGAAGATCTCTAGAATTTCATATAAATGATGTCTGTATACCAACTCAAAATCCAAGGGCTGAGAAACTTCTGTTCGCCCCCTGGT